CAGGTTTTTAATTCCTCACCGTTATGTGATTTTCACTAACACAACTTTCTATGGTGTTTCTATCCAGGGTAAGCTTTACACCTATTATATATATTTTCTTTGCTTAATTTTAGTTCAATAAAGGTTATTACCATTTTCTTTGTAACGTTTACTTTAGGAGGTAATCTTCTAGAGTGAGATTGAATCCCATTCACTTTTGAGTGAGTGTTTTTTTCTATCCCACTCTTTCAGTTGGTAGTTATTTACTTGTTGTGGGGTTAAGCCCCCGTGTTACCACTTGTAAACCTACCTTGGGGTTCTGACGTTGGCTAGTCCAACATCACCACTCCTATCTCATATTTATTTAAGCTTGTTAAATGATTTAATTGTTTTGGATAACATTTTTAATGATTTTCTTTCAATCAATCAATCAATATATATATATAGATGGATGAAAAAAGCCAGCTCTCTGGGTCTTGTAAATAAAACTTCTCGGGTTTTATTCTATACTATTGGAATAAAAGGCGAGAAGTTTTATTTACAAGACCCAGAGTGCTGGCTTTTTTCATCCATCTATACATTGTGTAGTCGAGCACCGGGCAATATTTTAAGGGATAGCAGGAGTGCAGAACCTTTTGGTATTGTATATATCTATCTATATCTATATATATATATATAAAAGCAAATATTTATTTAAAAAATATGAAATTAAAATATTTTTCAAAAATTATTACGCAAAAAAGTGCAACTAAAAATATTAAATTGTTTGAAAAGCTTATTCAAAAAATATTAAATTGAGGACAATATTACGGAATTTTTTTTTTGGTTTTATTTCATTCCCTGTTAGAAAGAATTGGGGGAAAAAAACATGGAGCCAACCTGCATTTGTAAGTGAGGAGCTCAAAGATTTACCTGCTGCACATTAAAATATAATTATCTAGCGCTATAAATCCAAAGGTTGTCTTCTGTCTTCCTAGACAAAGTTATATTATGTCACTGCAGTCACATATTAATATTTCAAGGAAACCGCATGTATATTCAAAGGGCAGCCGGCCTGTAAAACAGTTTTACATTGAAAAGATTTTATTTATGGGTATAACCAAGCATTCGTATTTCTTTTCATTCAGTTGGAAAAATAGCACAGTCCTTACAGCAGTGTTAGGTGTTATACCAGAACAAAAAGTCATGTTAGCCTTAATCTCTGTTATGTCCGAAGTTAAGTTTTAGTTTTTTTAATGTTTTTTTTTTAAATGTGATTGTATAGGGAGAGATATTAGTAGTAGAAAGAGGGAAGTGGGAGAGGGAAGAGGGACGTGTTCATGCCATTGTACAGAACACTGGTGAGACCTCACTTGGAGTATTGTACGCATGTTTAAACTCCTTTACTGTGTTAACTCTACCACTTCAGCTGGAAGGCTATTCCATGCATCCACTACCCACTCAGTAAACAGTGGCGTACATACCAGGGTCGCAGGGGTCGCGGCTGCGTCCGGGCCCGGCCCACCAGGGGGCCCGGCCGCCCCTGCGACCCGGTATGTACCCACAGGGCCAGCCTCTTCCCCTGGGGGGCCCAGGAGCCGACCACTTAAGGGCCCCCCGAGGCTGGCCCTGCTGACACCGGGGAGGCAGGTGGGAGGGCGCGCGAGGGAGCACTCTGCTCTGAGTGCTTCCTCTTCAGCTCCCTCGCGCACCGAATGGATACCGGAGCGAGCAGAGTGCTCCCTCGCGCGCCGGCCGCCCAGGAGCCCCAAGAGCCCAGCACCACCACTGGACCCCAGGGAATCCCCCCAGCACTCCAAAAGGTAAGGAGGCTGGGGGGATTACATTTAAAAAAAATGTGTTTGTGTGTGTGTGTTAGTGTGTGTGTGTGTGTTTGTGTGTTAGTGTGTGTGTGTGTGTGTGTGTGTGTGTGTGTTAGTGTGTGTGTTAGTGTGTGTTAGTGTGTTAGTGTGTGTGTTTGTGTGTGTGTTTGTGTGTTAGTATGTGTGTTAGTGTGTTTGTGTGTTAGTGTGTGTGTGTTAGTGTGTGTGTTAGTGTGTTTGTGTGTGTGTTAGTGTGTGTGTTTGTTTTGTGTTAGTGTGTTTGTTTGTGTTAGTGTGTGTTAGTGTGTGTGTGTGTGTTTGTTTGTTTGTGTTAGTGTGTGTGTTTGTTTGTGTTAGTGTGTGTGTTTGTGTGTTAGTGTGTGTGTGTGTTTGTTTGTTTGTGTTAGTGTGTGTGTTAGTGTGTGTGTCAGTGAGTGTGTCTGTTGGGTGTGTGTCTGTTACTGAGTGTGTTTGATGTCTGTTAGTGAGTGTGTGTTTGTCAGTGAAAGTGTATGTTTTGTAAGTGAGTGTGTATGTATGTCTGTCGCTGTGTGTGTCTCTGTCAGTAAATGTGTGGGTCTGTTAGCTAGTGTGTATGCGTTTGTTCGTGAGAGTGTGTATGTGTGTCTTCAGCATTTACCTTTCTCCAGCATCGGACTCCCTTGGCGCTGGGGATCCCTCCGCCTCTCAGCTCCGAATGCACATGCGCGGCATTTAAACCGCCCATAGGAAAGCATGACTCAATGCTTTCCTATGGACGTTCAGTGTCTTCTCACTGTGATTTTCACAGTGAGAATCGCGGAAGCTCATCTAGCAGCTGTCAATGAGACAGCCACCAGAGGCTGGATTAACCCTCAGTGAAACGGCTATGTTTTCAGCTGCAGGGTTAAAACTAGAGGGACCTGGCACCCAGACCACTTCATTGAGCTAATGTGATCTGGGTGTCTGTAGTGGTCCTTTAAGTGTGTGTGCATACCGCGGTCGCGGGGTCGCAGCCCTGCAACCCCTGTGACCAGGTGCCCGCCGCCATGTGTTGCGGCCCCAACCCGCGCTGAGTAAGCGCGGGGGGGGGGGGGCCACGGATCTATTTTCGCACCGGGGCCCCATGGGTCATGTGTACGCCACTGTCAGTAAAGTAATACTTCCTGATATTATTTTTAAACATTTGCCCCTCTAATTTAAGACTATGTCCTCTTGTTGTGGTAGTTTTTCTTCTTTTAAATATAGTCTCCTCCTTTACTGTGTTGATTCCCTTTATGTATTTAAATGTTTCTATCATATCCCCCCGTCTCGTCTTTCCTCCAAGCAATACATGTTAAGTTCCTTTAACCTTTCCTGGTAAGTTTTATCCTGCAATCCATGAACCATTTTATAAAAGAGATCTACTGTCATAGCTGGGGCTCATGAGGACTGATAATGCTTATTACCTTCATATGTGATCTATCAAGGCAGTAATCTGGCTATGTATTCCCAATTCTCTTGTTTAGTTCTGTGGGTACATAACCTATCAGAGTGTTGTTTGTCAGTGAATTGGAGCCGTTTAGTGTGTTTCTTGGTCTGTAAGTTCTATTGACTTCTGACTGGTGGATATTTGTCTGTGACAAAACATATTGATACAAAAGCCGATAGGCATCTACTCTGATACATCAAAAATTAACACAAAAAAAATGGACTAAATATAGGAGAAATATTAGGTAACAGTCCCATAGTTGTTAGACGTCTGTTGGTGTGTGGCTTTTCAGACCTTGAAGATAAATTAATGGAACACAACAAAGCACTTTTGCTGTCCAGTTGGGACAACCAAACCGATGTCGGTAGTAGATGGAAAAAATCCTCATTATTGTGTCATAGCAGAGTTAAAAAAAATTGCAGATATATATAGTAAGTACAAAATAGACTCGTACTTGGCAAAAAACTTTGGCTTAAATTATCCTTGCTGAAAACAAAACATTTTTTAGGTAGCCTGAATTTTCGTCCGAATGTCAGTTCGACCTGGCAGAATTTTGGTAATGAAAAACGTGGTTCGTGAATCAAATCAGAAAACTAAAAGGGTGTGAAAATGAGCCAATCGGTGTACAGCAAAATATAGACATGATATAATATGGTTCACATATAAGTGAGAAAATTAACCAAAAGAAGGAAAAAGGAGGGGAGCAATAAAAAGAATCTGAATCATGACCCAAATCTGACATACACCACTATCGCACATTTTGGATGTTCCATGATTCGGGTAAATTTAGGCTTGGAGCTCGGTAATTAATCCGGCCATCAACCAAAATCGGGACAAATTGCAGTTCCGACTGAAACGATCTTCATGTCTACTACATAATAAGATCATAATAGAGCAAGATTAACCATAAGGTGGCCAACTAGGGCCCAGAAGTCAGACGAGCCTCGGAACCATGAATTTGTTTGACCCCATCTGCCTATGAAGAATGAACCTGTTTAGAGCCATGTGGAACCTTAAATCTTCTCTGGGTCATACCTTCATTAAAGAAAGAGGAGGACTCTGAGATAAAAAAGGCCAAAATACAAAAAGCTGGGGGGGAAATTTCTTCAAATGTTTGGCTTAAATTTGCAATTCACATTTTAATATATATTCCCTTCCAGTGTACTATTCCACCTTGCCTTGGTGCAAACCCAAGTTGATATATGTTGAATAGGACTTTTTTCCCCCCAATAACTGTGTTTAATTCAGTTGCATATCAACTTCTTGAGAAAGACTTAAAATGGGTAGAAATGCCAATCTAGGACACATATGTGATATGCAACTGAATTAAACATTAATTGAAAAAAGACCTACAAGTGCACCCTTTTGTCTATTCTCTCTCTCTCTCTCTCTCTCTCTCTCTCTCTCTCTCTCTCTATATATATATATATATATATATATATATATATATATATATATATATATATATATTTTGAAATACACAATTGGAAAATTTCCTCAGGAGTGCTCCGTTTATTTTCTTGTCTATTTGTGCGCTGGAAGCACCCAGGTATTTTTTAACTTATTCTTTATTAATGGTGAGTGCCAGAGGTTGGAGTATATATATATATACACCACGCACACCAATTTTAAACATTCAGTGCCCCTCCAGAGATTGGGTTCTGGATCCGCCCCTGGGTTGAGACCTATAGGAAAGACTATGAAATGGTTAAACTGTCTTCTGGTGTGATGGTAACGTTAGCCATTCATTTTGTAAAATCGCAGTCCACCGAGAGCTTACAGGACACATAACAATTATTTAGTCTCAAACCGTCTCATTTCAATTTCCTTTCTAGCAATTCTTGATAGTCTTTGATATCTGATGGTCTAGCCAGCAGATAAACATTGAGCGTTTTCTGATGGACACAGTACTGGCACCAGAAACTGATGAGAAAACATTGGCTAGTGTCATTAATAATTTTTTGTTTGCCGCCAGTGTTCTTGAACATCAGTTCCAATTTTAAAAACTTGCAATGCAAGGCAATGTTCCGCTCTCAGGATGACTCTATTTATCAAAGTGAGTGAGCGAGATACGGCTGTTTGTCATCTCGTTGATATGTCATTTCTTGAAATTTCAGCATGAAAAATAAAGCGCAATTTGAAGAGACTCTTTAATGTCTATTTATCATCCTCCAAAACGGGCAGTTTGTGAGGTTATATATTAACGCTTAGTGGTTTGTGGCTGTTACAGTCTAGTGCTCAGATATCCAACTGGTAAACTTAAAAGTGACTGTGCAGACTGCCTATTCTTTTTCTGCATTATATAAACAGAACATTGAAGTATGCAACAACAATTAAGAAAACAAATAGCAAAATACATTAAAGAGTCATATATGTTCCAGAAGTCCACATTTTTATGCATCTGCAGTGAATTCCGTTAAAACCAGACTATGACTCAGCCAGTCATGAAATTCACATGACATTCGATAGCCCTGCTTAGCTTGTCCCATATTTCTGAGAGTCGTAGTCTTTCTGGTTAAGTCATGCTCAACATTATTTGGAGCAAAAAGAAAGATATTGCAGGTTAGGACAAAATGGTAGAAATGGTAGAATTACAGGCAAAAAAAAATATTCTTTTTTAAATTTAATTTTTCTATTTTTATTAGATTATCAAAACCTGACCAAGCATCAGCTGTAACCTAACCTACCAACTGCATATTTTGCAACATTTGTGTGTTAAGCTTATTTCTTTTTTCCAGATTAAAACTTTCTTTGCAAACATTGATTGCTTCAGTTTTTCTTATTAATGTAGTTAAGGGGTCAATCCGGGCACCGATACAATGCATTTGATAGATTTGGGCCTCATTAATATGAATTATAGTATTTTTGAATGCGCAAATCTTTATAGTTTTTTTGCACAAAAAAATGAAATAAATGTTTTGTGTAATGTTCTGCATCATAAGCCTTCCGTATCAAGACTTCCGTATCAAATGTACGCCGACAGCTCAGCCCCCAACAGCAATGAGTAAACTGCTTTCAGTCAAAGAAACTACAAACAGGCAGCGATATCCTTACCCTGTGTCTCCATGGGTGTTCTCTCCTCCTAATGCAGGTTGCTTTGTAGTTCATTACTACCCATTCCCAAATTGCCCAGAAAATCACAGGAGACATAGATATGTTGGTTAAGCGAAATGGCCACAGCTTTATTTGTTAACACCAATCGACAATAAATAAATACCTCTAACCAGGAAACCAAGAGTCCGGAGCAGCCTGCCACTGCCATTATATCTCATCAGGCTGTGACTCCCCCAAGTCGACTCGGCACCTTCTTCCACAATAACTGCGCTGGCCATGAATACCGCGAGCTGTGACAAAGCAAGAAGAGAAAAAACGCACACTCAACTACCATAACAAAACAAACCCATCTTGACAACTCGGCCAGGTGGGAAAAGTTAGGATCCCTACACTGCTTCTATCTGACTGATAGGTCCCCTCCCTGTTCACCCCTTTTTATCCTGTCCACAAATTGAAATAATTGTACACCCTTAGTCCCAACCCCTTATCTCTGGCAGCAGCCAGGAAGGTTCTGATCATTCAGCACTGAGTTTTGGGGTGTGACTAAAGAGGCAGGCTTATGACGCATCATTCTGCCAAACGTTTATTTACTTAATGATAAAACCATAAAGATAAATACAGCATATTAATGAGTCCAAAACCTATCAAATGCATTAAAGTAGTATTGGTGCCTGGAGTGTCCATATAATCAAATCTTTGTCTGTGTGCACCAATCTGTTTTATTGATAAATAGAAATGAAAAAAAAGATGAGAAGTAACCAATAGCAGATGGACAAAAATAAATAAATCACATTTCAATGAATTGCACTATACCTCTCACCCTTTCATTTAAAGAGTTGAAGCATTTTAGTTTACATTTTGTCACGTTAAGTTGAAAAAGACACTTCCTAATGACATACATTTCAGAAATATTACTCTTTTTAAAACGTATTCTTATTAGGAGAAAGTTTTATGTGTTTTTAGCACACGTTGTCTCCGCTTTGTACATGACTTAATGAAGCCTGATCTGCTCTCACCTTCACACACTTAACAAAACATTTCAGCTAATATATTAAATTAGAACAGAATCTCTAGCCAGTATCTTATTGAAGAAGCAAGTTTGAGTTTCCATAGGTGTTAAGAGTGGAGGAAAAGAAGGGGTTCTTCCCCTTGTTCACAGGAAGAGCCGAAGTTGGTGCATTGTCGGGAACATCTTTAGAGTGATCAAAGGCACACATAAACTTTACTTCAGGTAGGGCAGTGATGGAATGTTTTTGGAATGGAGTATTGACATTGTTGGAGTATTGACATTATTGGAGTATTGACATTGTTGTCAATTATTTGTCCCTTTACCATTTTCTGCATGTTACTTGTTCTTCCTGTCTGTCTTGCATTACCTATACCAGGGGTAGCAACCTTCGGCACTCCAGATGTTGTGGACTACATCCCCCATAATGCTTTTACACTCATAATGCTGACATCACGGGAGGTGTAGTCCAAAACATTTGGAGTGCCAAAGGTTTCCTAAGCCTGACCTATACGATCTTTTCTTTCCTTTCTTTCGTTATTTGTTTTTTTTTAGCCTTAGTAACCTTTTTGCTATTTTGTCTCTCTCATGGTCCAAGTATTTCCTTTTAGGCCTTGGTTACAATTTCCGTCTTTTTTTTTTTTACGGCTCCCAATCCTCTATCACCATGGATGTTACATACAAAACACACACACATATACACATCTCACACAGGTTCCCCACACATACACCTCTGACATTACAGTTGGGTGAAAATGAACTGATTTGCATAATTTGTTCCAGTTTCCATATTGTTCTAACATTTTCAATAACCCTCCAAAATGATCAGTTTAGTGAAAAGCCCTCAACGAGACTCAACTCTTCAGACAATGAATTGGGTAAGTTACCACAGATCATCAAAGCAGTACCAAACAGGAATCAATGTGCCTTGAGTTTTAACCCCTTAAGGACACAACTTCTGGAATAAAAGGGAATCATGACGGAATATTTCCGTCATGTGTCCATAAGGGGTTAATTGTCCAAACCAGTATCCAAATTTAGTGACTTTAGCCAATTGGTTTTATTATGCCACTTGCCCAGACTTCAGGATATTGAAGAAATTGTTCTTCAAGGGCTGTTTGCAATGCATGGATGTACTCTGAATAATGATCCTGAGGTGGAACACAGCTCCCTTTTGAGAATCACACTATATAACGTGGAGTGTGCCATTTATGTGAAGGTCAGGAAGTTATGCAGATTGTTCTGAGACTTAGGGATTGCTTCTAAAATGTTACATTCCCCTTTTAATGCCAGAGGGGCCAGCTGGCAATCATCACCTAATAACACAATCGCACACTTGGTGTGCTTAAATCGCAATACCCAGAGTGCTTTGCACAAATATAATTTAAAGGAAAATCTAGTATTTATTAGTATTTATTACCTTTTTAAACTAATTTGTAAGTGTAATAAATATAGTTTGATTCATTTTGTGTCCTTTATCGTAAAAGATAATTTAGAATCTATTTACAAATGAAATGAATCAAACGTCTTAGAAATTAAATGTCGGTAAGTAGGACTTTTTATTGCATGTTCATCAGCATCATTATGTATATATAAACCATGCACAAAACCTCATTGTGGATACTGTAACAATTCAGGGTATAATGGAGATAATCACAACCAAATGTATTTTACTCAGTGATGTCATTGATGATGTCACTTCAAAAAATTGTTCCCATCATAATGTATGCACAGAAAGCAATACAACTTGTGCAACCAACATTTTTTTCCCCCTGAATGTTTCCATTAACTACAAGGAATGTCTGAGATAATTTGATGTATAATTTAATACGTGCTTTCTGCACATGTGCAGGTTTGCACTGATAAGATACCAGTCTTCCCCAAACTCCGGCCCTCCAGATGTTGCTGAACTACAACTCATGAGTCTCAGCCTATCTATTTCATTCATAGAATCATGGCGGTTGTAGTTCAACAACATCTAAAGGGCCGGAGTTTGGGCAAGCCTGAGATAGACTGTTGATTTGGCATATGCCTTCACTCATAAGTTGTTGGTTGAAGAAACTACATATAGAAACTTAAAAACTGTATGTACATGTATTTAATTTGGGTAAAATTGTTCAGATGCTGACGTGGTGGAAATGTTGTAGCCAATGAAAGGTAACAGTTTGTGAGGAGATTTGTATAACAGCAGTTAATAAAACAATTCACATGCTAATTAGTCCTTCTCCAAGGATTCTTGCAGGAACGGCATAACTACGTAGGTATTTAGAATTGCCAGATCTGTCTTTTTCATTGGCATAGGAGGGGCTCAGCTTTGGTTATTTTAACAATTTGTAAACTGATCCGCAATCTTAAAGCACCTCTGGCAGTTTCCCTCCTCCCCCATTCTTTAAATGGGCTTCCTGCTGTGTGCAACCCACCCGCCCCCAATCATTGTGATTGGCCTCAGAATTTTTTCATGTCCTGCCAGTCTCTTTGGGTCCTTATTCACGGTGTATCCGTATCCAAGATGGTGCTCGCCGGAAGTCCCACCACTACCCTTACTAGGGTGTACGCATTGGACCTCGGGAGGTTTGCCTTGCACTGTGTTAAAATTTTAGGAACATGCAAGAATTAACACAGAGAGAAGATGATGTGAAGCTGAAGAGAGGTGATCAGCCAATGGCAAAGTCGACAAATGATGTCGAACCTAACTAAAAAATCAACCTTTTCCTTATGTATAACTTTCTAAATAATAATTATAAAAAAAATAGGGGTTCACAGGGAGCCATATAACACAAAAATAAATTAATAAATATAAAATAAAATAAAATAAGAAAATGACAGAGCAACATTAAGATAAGAATAAACCAGGTGTTACATTTTAACATCTGATACTTGTACTCTATACCGAGGTTCTCCAAACTCTGGCCATCCATATGGTGCTGAACTACAACTCCCACGACTC